TGATATGAACAGTATGTGCTCACAGGTCCGCGGTGATCCCAGTCCACCAAGTTTGAAAATCCCCCAGAAAGGGGGATTACTGACGAGCCCAGCAGTCAGATGTCTTCCCAGGTACGACAACGTTCAATTTCAGCCATCTGCCAGAAATGAATGAGATGATCTAAACCTTCCCCCCACGCCACCCCCCTCCCGCCAACCCGCCACCACCAGCACCCCCGAGCAGAAATCACAAATCACTCAATACCTGAGACACAAAGACTTCCCCCCATCCTGGGAGCCTTTGTGTGGTCTATCTGGGCTCACCGTCTCCCTTTAATGAGGGGAACAGGAACCCAACGAGAGCAGAGTGCCGGGGGGACACACGAGAACCTCAGCAGCATGAGCGGGGTGGGGGGGACAGAGGGGTCCGGGAGACGGGGCTCTGCCGGGGAAATCGGCCTGGACCACCAGCATCGCCGATTCTCGTAACATTGTCACTGCCTGTAACTGCGGCCGCTTTGTGAAACACACAGGCGGGCCATACCTGCGGGGGGAAAACGCGCTCACACACACACACACACTCACACACACACACACACACGCAGCGAGGCATGGAAATGCGATTAGAATCCAACATCTGAAAACACACACGCGGTGCCAGAAATGCGAGCAAAATCCCGCCCCCTCCTCCTCAAAATAAGGATGCGATAATGTGATTTCCTCTGGCGATTACCCCCACGGAGCAGTCGCCCCTCGTGTCCATGCCAAGGTACGTGCTGTTCTGAGGGTCACACAGGAGCTGGGGGGGGGGGCTTCTGGCCCCTTGTTTTGGGCCAGAGATAAGAGGCCAGTTTTGCGCTGCCCTGCAGGTCTGGTGATTCATCCCCCCCCCTCCCAACACCATGCTCTCCGTTATTAGAACACAGCCCCCAGGACAGGGGTGGTAGCGATGATGGGGGTGGCCGGTGGTGGGGGCAGGATCGAGTGTCACGTAAACAATTTTGAGACCACTGTGTCTTCCCTTCCTTGCACAAAATCACCCCCCCCCCCCGACCTCCTCAACGTATCGTGCCACGGGCTGGGAACCCTGTGTGGCTCCGCTTACTCACACATCATGTATACTTCATCCAAGCAGGACCCGAGAACAAGCCAGCGAGCTGGGGAAAATAAAAGAGGTCCAGTGTGGTCTGATGGTTCAGAGCCAGTGATTTAGGGGCTGATGGTCCTGGGCAACGAGCCCAGAGCAGACACTGACTCATTGGACGACTCGGGGCACGTCACCGTACTTTAAACGCCCTTGTATGTGAGGCCCATTGAAGTGGGCCACAGGCGCGCATTACTGGAAATCGCTACTGGAATTGGAGTTTTTGTGTTGTCGTATTCTCCCTCTCTCTCGCTCTCTCTCTCATTCCGCCCCGAAGCTCTCGCAACAGATGGCCGTCGCTCATTAAACTGTCGCAACTATAAATTACGCCTTTTTTTTTTCACCCCCCACTCTCATCACTTAGATGTAACAAATAACCGGGCGTCAGACAGGGACGGGAGTTTCGACTTGAAAGTGGGGGTCGCGGTGGTGGTGGGGGGGGGGGGTCAGGGGTGGATGGAGCGGAGCGAATTCTGGGAGGACTGTGGGTCAAGCGCACGCGGGCGATTTACGGAGGGGAGCCGCATCCTACGCGCACCGGGAGCTGCGTTTGAGCGATAAAACACCCCCCCCCCCCCCACCACCACCACCACCAGGTTGTCGCCCTTACGTATGACCCATGCATTTTAATAACCAGGAATGACGTCCCCCAGGGAGCAGAGACTCCACCTTGGACCGTATCCCCTAACAATGTTTTGGGTGTATCCTGCCCCCGGCCAGTTCCTGGTTACTTTAGATCCACCCCCCCCCCAAGATCTCAGGTTAATTCCACTTGACATGAAGCCTTTCAGAAGTGCAACTTTGAATTCTTTTGAAGGCCTTCTCTGTTTCACACCTGTTCAGACCTTTGTTCCGCTAACTTCCTTATGGTTCTCTTCTCTTTTTTTCCCCATGGGACATACCTGAGGCTGAAAGGAATCTGTCCTCATTCAGAGCAGGAATGTCCCCTTTGGCATTTCCACGGCCTGGGGGCCTTTCACGCAACCCCCCCCCCCCCCCCGCCCCACACCACCACCACCTTTTGATGAGCCCGACACGTAAAAGCCACTTTACTTCCTGGTCCCACCACCATCAGCTCAACTGGAACAAAAATGGAAGTGCCTATAAGATGACCTGGGGGTCGTGGCGACTTGCGACGTTGCATGTAATGCGATGCTGCATTCTTGGTGCAGCTTGTCTGGATGTTCCGCTTGCTCAGAAGGCAGCGATGGATCCTTCGGGAGCAGGATTCCCATGTATGCTGACAATTCGGATGTGGCTCAGCTCAGACCTGTTCACTGTAGAGTCGCGGAAATAAATAAATGATGCAAAATAATGATGACCGCCATCCATCCATCCATTTCTGTACCCGCTTCTCCTGTGCCTGGTCACAGGGGTCCAGAGTCTATGCCAGAAGCTGTGGGCACAAGGCAGGGAACAACCCAGAATGGGGTGCCAACCCATCACAGGGCACACACACACACACACACACACACACACACACGCACACACCATTCACTTACACAAATGCACTTACGGGCAATTTGGTAACGCCAATCAGCCTCAGCACGTTTTTGAATTGTGGAGGGAATATGGAGACCCCGGAGGAAACCGCACGATGACACGGAGAGAAATGCAAACTCCACACGCACAGAGCCAAGGCGGAGACTCGAACCTCGGTCCCAGAACTGATGACCAGCGTCGTGCTGTCTTATCCCGCTGAGCGTGACCTCTGACCTAGGCGATGATGACGCAGCACGACGATGATCCCCACGTACGTTAACACTTTATTCTAATGCTTTTGCCCGTCCATCAGAAATGAGATTGATTCTCCTTCACAGCCTTATCAGGATATTACTTCAACAGGTTACAATCGCACTGTTTTACATTAACAACATATTATGAGCATGTGACCATCTGCACAGGAGAGATTAAATTACTGGGAGGAACACAATTTCATAATTTAGGGGCAAAGGTCCATCATGGGGGGTAAATGAACCCAAATGCCCTTGCATGTGACACACATATAAATATTAGGCAAAGGATTGAACACTGCGACTGCATTCAAAAGAAATCTGAGCAGAAATTGGATGGAGCAATGTATGGAAAAGACAGGGAAAGTGAGCTTATTTACACAGAGGAATTCAGACGCAAAGGCAATGCAAAGTGTTTCACAAAGGCAGGGTTACAATAAGCACTGAGCAGAACACGTCAAAACATGCATTAGGTTAGTTACCATCTCTAAATTGACCGTAGTGTGTACATCTATGTTCATATGCCCTGTGAAGGACTGGAAGCTCATCCAGGCTGTATTCCTACCTTGTGCTGCCTGGGATACCCCCCCCATCCCATGACCTGTCCAGGATTAGCACTGGACAGATGGATATACAATTTATGTTAAAAACAAACACACAAGCTGCACGACTGGGTTATATGACAGCGGCAAGCGCATCAAAGTGTAATCTTGAATCTGGATAAATGGCTATGGGCATGAATTTGTGCTGCTTCGCTTGCATCAACGCGAGGCTACGCACTTCTTCACAAAAGCGAAGGGAACCTGCTGTACTTGCTGTCCACGAGAGTTATGATGTCAGGCGACGCGGAAAACCCTGGCTTGACGCCGTGAGGCCGAGGAGCTCTGAGCGTCAGCATCGACGGTGCGGCGGCTGCAGGTCCTGTACAGCAGATGCAACCTCCCAGCCTCACAGCTGCGTCCCACATGTTTAACACGCTTGTGGATGCCGGTGCATTTTTGGCCAAGCCTGCACCGCAGCTTCCGCACAATCGCCCACCGCCATTCCATCTTCTGGGGCTCTAAACATCTATCGGGAAGCCAAAAAGTGCGGACGGCTTTAGAATGTCAGATATTTCCCCGGGGTCTCGGATCTAGAGGCCCAGCCCACATTCTGGAGGCCCATTTCCATAATTGCCTACAGCCAAATCATCTTGGATTGCTGCCATTCCAGATCGCTGCAGATAAGCAGGTTCTGCTGTGGTCAGTACTCAGACCCCCAAGGAAGAACAGGTGCTGTAATGTCAGTGATTTAAGGTCTGCCGGCTATCTGAAGTTTTTCTTTCTGAGAAAGGGCCAGCCGCAATCCCACCCGGGATTACAATCTTAATAATCTCTCTTAAGGCTTGAATAAAAAAAAAATCCTTTCCCTCATTGGCCTCTCCTTATCAGGCTCTTCTGAAGAGCTACATAGCAGTAAGTGTTGCGACCGCTTTAGTCGGCGTGATACTGTCGCTCCTTTTAATTACACGGGAGAAAAACGGCAGGACTGTAGTTCTAAGTCAAACAAACATCTGTGATTGCTGAAACAACATTTGAAGGCGATGAAATAGAAAAGAAGCATTTTACGAAGAAAGCTTGCGTATTCTCATGTATAAATACGTATGCCGTAATGTTATGAGTATATACGAAACATTATATAATAGCCACTGGTAATTACTTTTAATTCTCTCTCGTTATTATACTATTATAGTTAAAACCAGGAGATGAGCAATTTTATTGACATACGTTTTTGCGTTAGTGTCAAATGACATTTCTGCATATAATTTCGTGTATATAAACAAGAACTTAAATCGGCTCTAAGTCTAAATAAGTTTCCATGAAATGCAACGTGTTAAATCTTTTTATGTGTAGCCTGTAGCAAACAGAACAAAGGCACGATTCTTCAGATGCATTCTTAGTATTTTCGCAGTGTGAATGAAAGAGCCGTTTTACAGGCTCATTTTATGACCAGTTTCAGCGCTTAAATTTGTCAACAGAGGCGCGATGCTCCGCTTTGACAGGTAATCCACCCCCCACCCACCCCGCAGCGCGTACGCGAGTGGGCAAAAGGCGCGCACTCGCTAATTCTGTGATACGTCACCGCGCTCGCTCCTCTTCTCGCGCGCTAGTTAAAAAGAAGGAGGAAAGCAAAAAGAAACATGTGAGCGTTTTTGAAGGTCCAGTGAGAGTGAACTTAGTGCTACTTTTTTGACCTAACACACCAACCACTGTGCAGTAACGGAATTTAACTTATGGAAAGGCAAAAAAGTTAAGCTGACATCAAAACACTGTTTTATTTTAATATCAGATATTGTTTTTATTTCTGTGTTATGTCATCATAACCAGCACTTCAATTTATTTATTTTTAAGTACTATTTTCTTTTAAATATATTTAATAGAGATTTCTTTATGCATATATATATTCAAGTAAATTATTATAAGCATTGTTTACCTCTTTCTCGTAACAAAAATCTTAGCATTTTATTTTTTCATATAGATAAATAGTTGCATTTGCCGTTTTTTAATTTTTGTTTTGCTGAAGCATTTTGAGCATGAAACATTTAAAAATTGTACTGGTGTTGGCAATCGCGGTTAACGTCTGGGAATGTGGTGATGCAAAATTCGGTGAAAAGGGTGAAGTTAGTCCAAGGAGGAGGAGATGTTACGATGGAAGCCTACCGAAGCGCCTGAAAAAGAGAGAGAGAAAACTGTCAGTGGACAGCGGCAGCAGCGGGGAGATTTGTCACAGACTGTACCCTCGCGTGTCCTGCTGTCCCACCAGGAGAGCCGCCTATCAGATTCTTCACCGGCGAGACGCCAGGGTATGTTCGGCACGTTGCATTCTTGCATGCCTAGATGAGTCTCTGTATTTCACAAACGCTCGGGGAGATATGCATAACTGCGTTTTCTGCATCTTATCTTTGGAGACAAAATTGTGCAACGTTGCAAATAACCATTTGTAAATGGGAGCCGTAGCTTGATGATCGGTTTCCAAATGCTTTTTGTGCGGGGCTCGGGGATCATCAAAATGCTATGCAGTTTGTAATTGCGAGAACAGTGATAACTGCGCAGAAAAACAACAGTGTTACGGGAGCGAAAAGACAGCAGGGCAGAAGTAGGGAACCTTTTCTTGGCCGGGGCGCGAGCACAGCGTTCCAGTGTTACCATGGTTATAGCTCTCTAACCTTTCGCGTTCACGCTGAGCGGAAAAGTGCGGCTTATAAAGCGACCCGGAGCCGCCGCGGCTTCGGGGCTGCGCTGATTCGATTTCAGAGTCCGTGCTCGGACAAAGCTAAAATGAGAGACGCCAAAATAGGGCTTTCCAGGGTTTTCCTTCTGCATGATGTAGTTTAGAATCGCTGTACTGTTGTGCATGCAAAAACAGATCTATAATAATAATACGCAGCTGCAAGGCTCATTAATCTGAAATAATGATAGTTAGCGTCCCGACATAAAGATCAGTCCTAGTTACTTTTAGATAAGTGTTTTCCAAATGCTCCGATCAGTGAACGCGAACGGCTGTCCCATAAATACACAAGCGCCTGACATAAACTCACAAGATATGCACATTAATCTCCATTTAATGCGCGTTATCGAGGCGAGTGCGTGTTTCTGTAAGATAACGCTAAAAGATTCCCGGTGGCTCAGGAGGGGGGAAGAAAGTTGCCGTCCCTGATGCAATTATAAAACAAAAAGCGGTCAGATTCACATTTCGCCGAGTTCACGGTAGAATTCCCCCCATTCTCATGTAAACAGGTCCGGCGAATCAACATATGTGACTGGGTGGGAGCTCACTTTGTTTTGTGACAAAAAGCCATATTGCATCATTTAATTTGCTCAAGACATGCAAATAGGCAAAAATCAATAGAACAAAAAGGGGTCGACTTATCTGCCTCCCTACAACAGCGCTTGCCCACACACGGAGTCTTTCTGCTTATGGCTAAAGAATAACAGCAATACCATTGTGTTTGTTGGTTTCGCTAATGGGTGTAGCTGGGGAACATCATTCTCCTTCAGTTCTCAGTTCTGACCATGGGGTAATGCCGTTTATAGGGCAACCCAACCCCCTCACCAACTTACACCGATTCCCAGATGACCATAAGAAGAGACTTTATTTCAGTGTAAAATATTCTAGCACCGGTATCATTTCAGTCCTGCTGTGCGCTTTCTTATTTATGATGCATGTTGTTATACGACTTGTATAAACGTTAATATAGTTGCGGATAATCGCGATACGACCCCAGTTTATCATTCCCGCATACTTACAGAACATACAAGAGCATACCGCTGTCACCACGCAAATTATGTTTTTAAATGCTTTACTGAAAGCCCTTGATGATGTCCTCGGATAAATTACATTAGTACGTTTGCTCAGCCAGACACCACTTGTCCAGATATGACTGGAGTTCGGCGTTAAAGCTTAACAGCTCGGTTACGTCAACCTCCCTTGAGTGAACTGTTTATATAATATCGGTTTGATAAAGACCCAGGTATAACAGCGACTGCAAAAAGTAGTTTTTAATCGCAGCACTTTGTTCATAGTAACGTAATGGCAACATCGTAAATATTTATCGCAGCTGAGACATGATTAATCGCCTGCCTCTATGCAAATTACGGTGCTGCTGGTAGCCGTCGTTGGAAAACCATGAACCAGTATTCGGAGTGCGTCTTTACTGGTTATAAAGCATGCTTTGCCACACGTGCGGAATCCCGTAGCTGTTAGACGGAAGCCTGACGGGAGCACATTTATAACATCCAGGCTTTTTGCGGCTGCGCTGAGGGAGACCGCTGAGTCTTGGGGGGGGGAGGAGATGTTGTGAGACGTCCAGTTGGATCCTGGTGAGGGTGATGGCAGTGTTGGAGCCGATCCCGCGTGGCATATGGGCACAGGGCATGGCTGAGTGCACCCAAATGCTCCTGCCCCGGGACGGGGGTGCCAATCCCCCATACTGTAAGTCCACGGTCAATTTAGAATAACAAATCAGAGCGAGGCGCACGCCTTCCGGGGGCGGTAAGACACCACGTAAAGAGACAGATTAGGGGAGACGACGTGACAGCGTAAAAATGACTCACTTACACCCGAATGTGTCTTTTTTTTTAACGCGAAGGTGTTGTAAACAGAGCCTGGAGCAAAGGCGGGAATGTCCTAACCGGGGGCCTGTATCACGAAGCAGGATTTTTCTTAGCTAGATAACTCCTCTGATTTAAGTGACTCCAGTTTAAATGGACCATGCAAGGGGCATGCAGACCATCTCCAGTTTGGTTACACTCCCTCCACACAAGTTGCATACAGACCTATAACTATGATCGATGTGACATAGTTCTTTATTGGCAGCAGATTTATAAATATGTTTCTTGTCCTGAAATCCACCACTGGCATCTGGCTGCCAGGTGCTGCACTAGGGATGTTAAGCGGTTCGCAGCGTCGAAGTGTAAGTGGTCTACGTTTTTCTTGGAAATGTCAGTTTGGCATCTGTGGGATGGGAGCAGTCCGGTGGAGGTGTTCGTCACTGCAAATCATCTCTGCCGGTCATTCGTGTGCCGTTACTCTGAGATCTGACATTTTTTTTATGTCGCAGATCCTTTTATCCAAAGCGGCATACTTTTTTCTTTTTTTTTTTTTTGAGAAAGCAGGCCTGGAGAAAATGGGGGGGGTCTTAATGGCCTTGCTTAGGGGCCCACCTGTGACATTACTTAGCTGACCCTAGATTTGATCCTGCAACCTTCTGACTGAAGACACAGCATTCATCCTAACCTGCTCCCCCCCCCCCCCCCCCCCAAAAAAAAATTCTTTGCAGGATCTTAGCTGGAAATCAGATGTGGGTCAACTCCTTCAAAGACAGCTATGCTAACCACTAAATCAACGCAGGTTGCAAAGTTTCGGTCCTCGCTGTCGTATTTGGCATGGGCCCCGTTGATGAATGATACAAGCGGCTGATTTATAGGTGCTTTATAAATTAAATCAGGCAAAGGGTGGATAGTTACATACCACGCTACACGTTGATTAGCCGGTGGAGGTGTGAGCATGGAGTTATATTGTCATGAGGATGTCATGAGTGCTAGTTTAGTATTTCGGCTCGGTCAAGATTTATTGTCATCTGAAGATTCTATTGCAATCTCACCTGTAGCCCTCGGAAAAAGAAAGACTTGGATAGGGAGCTGCGTTCTCCATCCAGCCATCCCCTGTTCACACCCACCTTTTCTGAAACGCCATACGTGTCACACCGCGTGACTCATTCCCTCCGCTCGCTAAGCACAGGACATAAAAGGCCACCATAGGCCCACATTGTGAAGGTGGGGCTGACGTCAGTGCCCCCGGCACGTGCCGTTGCGCGCATTACTTTTGGGGCATTTGTTTGGACAGACGCGACCAGGGGGAGACGCGCTAACCCGAGCTACCAGTTACGTCAGCCCCTGTTTGGGGGACTGTTTACCCGGCGGCGGTTTGATGAAGACCCAGTTATGACAGCGCCCGTCAAAGTCACCAGGGGCAGCTGGACAGGGTACGCGTGCTTGTGCCGAGGGCTTTATTCCTCCAGACAGGCTGCTGATTTGTTGATACAGAAACCGGAGCAATGGGTCCCGCGCGACTCCTAATTAGTGTTTACGCCAGGACCTCACACGCTGCCGAGGGCTGTCCTGCACCAGCCCGTGCCGCTGGAGCGGCACCGGGCCGGAAAGATAATCCCGCGTCTCGCTTCAGCTAATTTGCTACATAAACGACTCCGGCTAATTTCCCCTGGAGTCCGCTCAGGCCGTTCTCTGTGGGTCGGGCACAGCATGACTGTTTTGTGCCGACCCCGGTCCTCGTTAACGCCAAAGTGACTTTTGTCACAAACAAGCAGGCTGTTTTGTTTGTTTCCTCTTTTTCATCTGTCTCATCTGTTTGCTTGTTTGTTCGTTCCCCCTTTTTCGCCTGGCCCCATCCCAGGTCTTCTCCACCAACAACACAGAGTGCGCACGGCTCTTGGACGAGATCAAATGCGCCCGCTGTTCGCCTCACGCCCAGGTGCTCCTGCACGCCCCGGCTCCCGCAGCCGCATTGCACCCGGAGCCCCGCCTGCCACGGCTCTGCCATGACTACTGCCGGGAGTTCTACTACACCTGCAGGGGCCGCATACCAGGTAACCACACCAAACTGCTTCTCTTCTCCCAGCCACGCCCACACGTGTGCGTGACCCCTGACTCCTGAATGCAAGCTCACGGCTTGGTGATGCCCGCAGGCATCCAGGTGGATGACCCCGGGATTAATAAGCCCTTACTGCTCTAAAGCAGCCACCAGACATCCTCGCCATAGCAAAGAGCTTTTGAAAGATGTGGATTTATTGCTTTTGGGGTTTCGTGAGACATTGGTAGACTGGACCATGAAGCCGGGAAAGCAGAAGAATTGTGAGAATCTACATTCATTGGATAGAAGTGTCCTGCCTTGATTGAAAATGTGCATTTTGGCTCTTCCTCTGCCCCGAGGAGAGGCGGCTGTCTGCTCCAGCTGTAAATGAATGGCCCCATTACTTCATTCCCTCCCAGCCCCTTGGCAGTCCTGGAGGTCTGACGTCAGTGCCCCCCACCCCCCCGATACCTGCTTGATCATTCCTAGGTGTGTCGGTTCTGGATACAGTCTAGACGTGACTGACCCCAGTCCTCCTTGCCACCGGGGGAGCTGCCTCGCACGTTGTTTGTTTTTCTTGGTGGCGAATGCAATGAAAACTTAAAACCGGCAGAACCGCCAGCAGTCCAAATAGAGCTGAACTCCGTGGTCTGAGTCTGGGCCACATTTCTATCAGGCAGGATTTTATATCTCCTCTGGGGTTGGGGTAATAATTTGATATTGTATTCCATTGTTGTTGAAATGCAACCTACTCTACAAATATTGTTGTTGTGCGTCACGCCCTTAGCTCATTAGCGCATACCCAGCTAACAATACAGCACGTGGCCCGGCCTTCCGACCCTCCCCCTGCCCCCACCCCATATTTATCCATAACAGATTAGATCCGCTGAGAGACGCAAACAGAAACCCACTAATTGCACGTTCGGATTACATTATGGAGTTGCTTAAGCGTATGGTCGGCCACCCTGAGGGGAGAGGGTCACCGTCCAGTTGCCATCAGAGGAGCCTGGAGGTAAACCGGGCCAGCCGTGCAACCACGGGGCTTGGGGGTGGAGGGGGTGTGAGTTGGAGGTCCAGGGGCAGCTTTCGCCACCCCGCGTCAGCATATGCGGTGACGAATGACACATTTATTTTTCTACGAGAGGCTGTGTGTACGTAAAAACCGCTGAAGTGAAGATGTCAAGTGCCCACTGTGGCCACCCAGGTTGCCTTGGAAGATAACCAGATGGAGGCCCCGGCAGAGCCGCGAGTGCCGCGGATGTAGCAGGGGAGGATCGTGGTAAGGCACTGCAGACATGGCAGCCGCGGTATGTCGTGGTATGTTCTGCCATGTGTTTATGTGAGCAGCTGGCCATAAATTGCTTAAATTGGACGGTTTTGTAAACATACATAATTCAAGTTTCAGAGACGTTTTTCTTTTTTTTCCCGTAGTACATTCGGTAAAGCCACAATCTTTATTTGTGTACTTGTCTGTTTAAGGGAGATTAAAATTGATTGCACGTCGGCATATACTGCGAGTTTTTACAGTTTCTTGGATATCTTTATTTAATTCATTATGCGGGTCGTGGAGAGACTTTTGATTGAGTTGGATCCGGTTTTACACTTTTCCAAAAAAAGTAAAATTCGTGAGTCTGGTTGAGAAAAACAGGTTGGTGCATACTTTCCAAGATCTTTAAGATGAATAATTTAATTTCCGAAGTGCTGACAAACGTGGCACAGGTATGTCCCTGGAGAAATTGCTTGATGAACTCTCCTCTTCTCATCCTGGTCGCCGGTGAACAGGCCATCCTCTGGATTCAGAAGCTCACACGGTTTAGGTCATCATGGACTTGACCCACTGTGGTCCTGTACCTAACTAATGAAAGGACAGATGATAATTTCTACATGTGTTTATGCATCAGACCAGTGGCCTCAAGGACTGAAGCCTCTCCAGGGCTTGTCAGAGGAAAAAACAGGTTTACTTTTTTATAGCTTGCAAAATTTCCACTCAGGTGATTTTTTTTTTGAGTCTACACATATTTTCACTGTCTCTCTCATCTCAAGGTCAGTCGAAGCTTTGGAATCACTGTTATGGTCAAACGGCTTCTGGAAGTTGCAGTTATTTGTTCAACTAGTGCTCCTTGAAGTTTATAAATCTTACTACATAGCGCCGATGTCCAACTCCATGTTTGAAAGTTTTCATTCAATCTGTCCTGACCTAAGCCAGTGCTACCTGAAAGCTCTGTGCCAATGGAGATCATGAGATTAGTGTGCTCTCATTGGGTGTATATGCATACTTGACCGTACTTGTGTTCTCATGTACACCTATTACGTCATCTCCCCTTGCCAAAGACCAGTTCCAATACTCAAGAACAGAAGTACAGAGGATGGTAAAAATCCCCAGATGTCATTCTCGCTCCACTCAAGATATCAAGGATACATCGGTTGCATCCTCGCCAAACGAGGCCAATCCCATGATTCATTGCAGCCCAAGTTCATTCTTGGAAGGCAAGTTAGCAAGACTGGTCTTGCCAGGACCAGAAGTACGATCTTTACGTTCTTGGTATTGAGTCCATTGCGTGTATGAAATCTGGGTTGATTTCAGGGTCTATGCTGGGCTACGACTCGGAAGTCCAGTTGGCTCAGCTGAGCCAGCATGTCTCCGAAGCTCTAAGCGCATGCACAACCATGAGTTACAGGTTTCCATGATGACATTGGGTTTATTAGTATAGGGATATAGTGTCATCACGTTGAACTTGTGTTACATCATAACAAGTCGCACTTCTGCGTTTTGCAGAGCTGTTCCAAGCAGATGTGGACGAATTCTGCCAGTACTATGGGAGACGGGACAATGGCCTATGCTTCCCCGACTTCCACCGACAGCAGACACGAGGTCCCACCACCAACTACCTGGACCTGGAGGATGAGAAGCTAGAGAACATCAACAGGTTCGTCTCGAGGGACTCGCTTCTTGTTCGTTGGTGAGTCAGCGCGGTACAGGCACATGACTTGAGCAGGCTCTGAGATGGCTGACTCTTTGGCAATGGCGGGGGTCCTACCTAGGAGCATGGCTCACCTCAATAGGTGGATGAGCATGGCTGGAATCCACCTCGGCCCCATCCTCTTGCCTCCAGAGAGCGCCATTTATTCAATGGGAAATCTGGGCAGCTTTAATTGTACAATCAAAGTGCTTCAGCTGCAGCTCTCCCCTATTGCCACCCCACCACACCCCACCCTGATTGGTTCATGGACGCTTTGGTCTTTTGTTTGTGGCCCCGAACCACTCCTGGTGGAGAGTGCCATCTCCGTGGAAACGGGCGGGCAGCCCAGCCTCGTTTCTCATCGATGGTGCTCGCCCTATCCAACAGCCCTTCACTCCAAAGAGCTGTAATTAGGCCCCTGGGATGGCTGAGCTGGTACATGCAGCCCCTCCTGGAAGGCCAAGATGTAGTAGGAGATCGCAGCTCCCTGAAGCCTCTCTCAGCGCCGAAGCATCTTAGCGCCAGTCCGTCTCATTCGGGGATTCACTTAACGGGACCCTTGGCAAGTCAAAATAACAATAAGCCGAGAATTCTGGGTACCTGTCATATTGAAGTTACCAGATGGGCTTCCTAGTTAAAGAGGTTCCCCCCCTTGAAGGTCAAATGACAAGGTATCTTGCTGCGACTTGTGAACTGAGGTCATGTTTCGACACTTCGCCGGGAATGGTTAATTGCACACACAGAGGCCCTTTGCGGATAAGATTGGCCACCCCTGCTTTAGTGTGTGGTCTAGGGTCACTTTCTAACAGCAACGCTGTGAGCACATTTCCTGTGAGTGGGTGGCGCCAGAACGTGTCACTGTCCCGCCTGGTCACAGCTGGCATCGGATGTTATGGTGCGGTTGCCGTTGGTAACGGCCGGCTCCTCCCTCATCTGTCAGGAAGCACAAGCACAACTGCTACTGCGTCCGGGAGGTGATGAGCGGCCTGCGGCAGCTGGTGGGGGCAGTGCACTGCGGGGACGGCTCCCAGCGCCTCTTCCTGCTAGAGAAAGAGGGCTACGTGCATATCCTGACCCCCGGCATGGAGCTGCTTCACGAGCCCTTCCTAGACATCCACAAGCTGGTCCAGAGTGGCCTGAAGGTGAGACTCCATCGACCACTACCTACCCAGTCACAGCATGCAGTAAGAAGGTCCCCTGAGGACTTGGCAAGTGTTTGTGTGGTCCTTGCTACTTGGTTACCAGTAGACTAAGGCTTGGGTTCAGAAATCAGTCCAAATGGGAGCACCCAGAATCAGTCAGACTCCGTAAGCACTCTGTCCATCCATTCTTCATCCAGCCACCTACACAGTATAGGATTGCAGTGAGTGTGAAAGCACAGGAAGCGAAGACGTGGAACAGTCTGGATGGGATATTGGACCTTAGCAGGGAAAATCAGGGGACCCAGAGAAAAACCTGGATAAACACAGGGGCAATCGCCACAAGCACAGAGCTGGGGATGGGAGTCTAACTACCCACTGAGCCAGCCACTGAATATTAACTAGATGACTTTATCTAATCCATCTCACGTGGCTTATAGTGTGGTTCGTTGACCTATTGTAGCGCCAGAGAGGAGTTCCCTGACCACCATGCTGTCCGTCTGCCTCTCAGCGGGGCTCATTCATGTCATTTCCACATCGAGGGCTTCCAGCCTCTTCAGTGCCAGGTGTAAAGAAAAAGGAGTGTGGGATGAATGACTCTGCGTAGCCTGAGGTTAAACACCCCCGGGGATCCCTCAGCCAGGAGCTGGTTTTAAGTCAGGAAACCGCAGGCACTTCTGCTCTTCTAAAAAGAATTAGCCCCCGCCCCCACACACACACACAGCCACCAACATTTACTCCCACTGACCTCCCACAGTCTCGGAAGTCCCTCTTCAAGAAAGCGGGAACCTGGGCCAGCATCCCCCGCCACCCCCCCCAAAAAGAAACAATCTGATGTACTGGTCTGGCATCTTTTCAGGGCAGTTAGGCAAAGAGGAGCACACCCCGGGAATCAAATTAAGAAGAAATACTGCCAGTGCTTGTGCTTTTTTATGATTTGGAAAAGGTGGATTCTTTCTTTCGGGATTGAAATGCAGTCTATTAAAGGTTAGCGGTTAATGTGACCCAGAACACAGAGTTACTCCCCACACAAAGAACACGGTAGTAGTCAGATTAAAAGCAGTATATGCACTGGAACAGAACGCTAAATAGCTGCATCTGAACACATTTTTAAATACCGAGAAATTAAGGATGTCGGTCTTCACTGTGGCTGCTGTCGTACGCTTACCCGTGGTGGCTCGGGTCCAGAGGCGATTTGTTTAGATAGCGCACCCAAGAGGGGAGACGCATTTTCACAGGAAGTTTATGTAGGAGACATACCCCCAGGAAGGGGGGGGGGGGAAGCAGGGTCATAGAGACTCAAACAGACCTGAGGAATGGACATGCAACAGCTCTTGGGGGTCTTATCATCATTAAAGTTAATTGGTTGCGGATAAAATAACCATTATGACAATTACCAGCGGCCTTCCCCAGAGCCCCATTCTGTGATGTTGGCTGTTAGTCTGGAGGGCGGAGCTGCGCTCCAATGGCCTGTTTACCTAAACGTCCGCATCAACAGGACACTGAGGAGGACAGTCCCCAGTGGACGACAGTGCTGGTGGTTGCAGTGGGCAGGGGAAGAGATATATTTTATCATTGTATGCGAACAAGCTTTGATTCTAATGTTCTGTGTTTCCTCATCTGGGGTCTCCTGATGCCTATTAGCCTAAGTTAGCTGCAAAACAATGACCTGTCAGGGTGGGTGTTCTCCGAAACTGGATATCCCCGTACCCTCTTATTAAAGGGCCGTGGGTAATGCGTTTCGGGAACTCTGGCAGTTCCCTTCCGCTGGGATGCCTGCCGGAGGGGTGGGGTAGGGGCCACTCTGCGATCCCACACACGGAGATGTCTATCCTCCATCGCTTCCCACAATGCCGCTGGGCGCCAGGAGTGCCTAGTTATTCCTCACTCTGGTTCTTACGTCTTGAAGACGCCGGGCGCGGCGATCTCTCGTGTTTCACTCGTTAGCCGATTGCGTGGTGTTACGTGGCCTGTAACTGGTTATGACAGTAACTACCTCCAGATGGCTTTTCACATATCAACACTTATTATGTAAATCCGCCTTACTGTCTAACAGCAATTATTGTACGAAACGGCTAAGAAACAAGCCCGCCACAGTAAAATATTTATGGACTGAAATGGAGTATGGAATTCCTGCGCCCAATTGACTTAGCCTGCGGCAGCTAACACAGCGTAAAGCCAAACATCTGCGAGAGACACGGGGAAGGGGGCAGAGAAATGTACCAGGCCGCTGACGAGGCCCAGCTGTAATATAAAATTTCTAGAAGGAGCAGGACGGTCCTCAGAGTGTTATTGTTTTTGTCACATTGTATGAGCAGCTGTTGGTCTGCGTCAGCCTGGTGACTGCGACTGACTGTTGTGGAAACATTGAGGCTGTACCGCGCTAAAATGCAGTTTTCGCATCAATAAATTGTCCACAGTCCTATAAAACGCAAGTAAGTAGTAAAAAAAAGCGCCTTTCGTTTTGCGCAGCTCAAACGAGGTATCGCAGCTGCACGCGGTTAATTCGCTAATAGCATTTAGCGCATAGCTTTCCCTAACAGCATTCGCTAACGACAGAAAGTAAATCAGTATTCTGACCAATAAGTGGGGAAGTTACGGACTCGGGTTTAAGCCCCGATTCTCCACGCTAATGGAGAATGGAAAGGTCTTCATTTTACGTCCGGCCCCTACCATAGGGTTAGTTAATGTGTTAACAGGTGGAGAGGGGATTTAAGTTGGCCCTTCAGCTCCTTTGTGAGCGGAGCGGGTTGAATTAGCGTGCCCGTTGCTTTGAGGTACGCCGCTTTGTTTTTCTCCAATCGGCTCCGCTGGAATTTCCCTTTGTCCGGCTGCCCGAGCCAATGAGGATCAAAAGGTGCTGGACAACAATGCGAAACCGTGAGACGGGGCCCGAGAGGCAGCTGCCTCCGGGACTGAAACGGTAGCCACCGTGTGGCATGCCAGCCCCTGTTCCAGACTGGCCGTAACTTTGGGGGTCTTGGAGGATTAACCCTGTTTTCATGGCGCCTCCCCGTGTCGCGTACCCATGTCGGAGGTGGATCCTACATGCGGGAGGAAAGCTGCGAGTGTGTAGGGGAAAGGCGCCATTCCCGGAGGCAGAGGGCCTGAATCAAGAGGGCCTGAATGAGATCGTAAAAAATAGGACGCGGTGACGTGATTTGTGGAGTTTAACGAGAATAGGAGGTGGCCGGTGACATCATCATCCATTATCTTGGTGCTTGGGGTGGGGGGGGGGCTTCACCCCCCCGCCATGACCACTCAGCAGAGCCAGGTCACAGCACAGGGCTGATGGGAACCTCGGGCACCAATAGGACGCAGCGTGACTTAAAACCCCAAACAGCTAATATATTTAACGGTCTCTGCGTTACCATAGTTACTCTAATATGGAGACTCTCAACAAACTGTAGCATTTACAGTAAATCACTGATGATTGATGTTCTGAAGTTTTTCTCCGTCTCCGTGTTTTTCTTCAGTAAATTATGCTAAAGTTCAACTGTGTTCTCAAAGAAGTCAATGCTGTTTTTTCCCCCCCTGTGTTATGGCAGCCTGTTGCCTCTGGTCGACCCTGTTGCAATGGGATAACGGTTGGTGAAAGTGAATATCTCAGTACAATTACAGCAGCTTCATGGTGGTCCGAGTCGGGGAGCGCAGTAGGGTTTTCGCGATTTCCCCTCGCCATTGGATTTACCAGTCAGGTTACTGAACTGCAACGTTTAAGGTGACAGGCTGCACTCTGGCTCCCGAAACTCCCATCTGCTGCCACTGACTTCACTGGTGGCGGCGGCGGTTTCGGCGGGAAATTCCGTGCCGCCATCATTCCATTTATGGAATTCACTCCCGTGTCTCTCGTGCCACCTGGGAAAGATGACGTTTTGAGGTTAGTGGCTTCATCATGGTATAGAGCACGTGCGATGTGACCTGTAGCTGTAGACTAACTGAACTTCAGCGCTGTTAGCGGTGGCTAACGCTCGAAGGTGTGTGTATTTCACGCAGAATGCTAAGGTAAAGGTTCAATGCTAATAATTCAGACTCAGCCCCGGTATAGGAGGCTGCAGACATTTTTTGTTCATTTACACTTTACTCGGATCTTTAAAGAAGTGAAAGAAACACACCTGGGAACTGAAAGGATATGGGTGCTTATTAGCATTAGCATTGATGACGAGACCACCAGGGCTGTGGCAGCTGATATACTTCCCTCCAGAGTGAAGCGGAGGTCTACATACCGTGCAAGCAGCCCAGGGCGTAGCCTGAGAACGCCGCCAAGACGGTGGGAGCTGGCAGGTCATTCTCCACCCGCCGCGTTTCTCCCGCCGCATCCGCGTGAATTTCGAAGGGGGGCTGAGGGGATTGTGGGCCGCAAGGTTGGAGCAAGCTAATAAATTCATTCAGGCACCCCCGGGGGGGTGTGAGGGGGTCGGGGTTGGGGGGTAGTGTTTGTGGCATGTCCCCCCCCCCCGCCCCCGAAAAGATCACACACACACACAAATCAGCTCACAGCAGGGGCCACGAAGAAAGGCCTGCTCACTTCTGGGGTCCGTGCAGACAAGAAGAGAAGGACGTAACATGTTTGCTGAGATGAGGAGCGAAAGAGAAGGGGGGTGGACTCCATTCTAGAGGCGACGGAGTGAAAGAATATAATTAACTTTGCAGTTCTTTGTGTCTCGTCTGACTGCAGGGCGGAGATGAAAGGGGCCTCCTGAGCCTTGCATTCCACCCCAATTACAAGAAGAACGGCAAGCTGTACGTCTCCTACACCACCAACCAGGAGCGCTGGGCCATCGGGCCACACGACCACATCCTCCGAGTGGTGGAGTACACAGTCTCCAGGTAACGGCCCCGAAAAATCCGCACGTTTCTGCTGGAACTTTTAAGAACATTCTGGAAATTTCTAGAAATTAATAAACGAGAAAAAATATCCCGGGGAAGCTCTTTTTGGCCATAGTGTTGACGTCACTGCCCCGTTCTGTGCACTAGTCCGTTATTAGCTAGTTTGGACGCTAGTCCGTTATTAGCTAGTTTGGACGCTAGTCCGTTACTAGCTTGCCAGCGAGATGTTTACTGACAGCGCTTTTATAGGAAAATCGTGTAATCGCTGCGTGTGATTACGTGACTTCGTTAATGGTGGCCGCACTGTTGTTCTCCTGGTGCTTGGATGCTGGGCGGCGTTGCACAATGCCCCGAAGAGGCCAGAGAGCTTCGCTCATCACGTATGACCGGGGCGGGGGTCTGCTGCACGTTTGGGGACTTCACTTTTCACACATTCATTAAGAACTCCTCCGAGGGATCTGGCAGCTTAATCTGGGCGGTACCGGGTAGGAGGGAATGCCTGAAGGTTCTGCTGAAAACCCGCAAAGGCGGTACTTTTGGCACAGAGGCACATGTGAAATAATGAGAATGAAAAATTGGCCAAAATATCATTAAAGACTGAACTTATATGGCGCTGAGGTCCCTCCCCTTCGGGAGGTACAGCTGGAACGGTAAGAAATATATATGATTAACGAGTTGCCAATTAAATCTGGCCCCATGAAGAACTAAAGTTTTTATGGCGCATACACGAAAAACTAAAATGACCTATAAAAAAGCATTGTACAGTATAAACTTCACCCACGCAGGATAAATTTTGGAAATCATTTTATTTCAGCTTTCATGCGTTTAGTGACATCAGTTTGGTTTTCGGTATGGAAGTGTTGGGAAACTCCCATTGGTCAAGATCTGGCCAGCAGCAGGGATTGGGTAATGCGTGATGGCTTCATCAACGCCCTTCAGTGTTTTGGTAACGGGGCAGACCAGGGTCATGTGACCTTCGGTCTACAGCGACGCCTGCTGACTTAGCGATCCACTTTTCTCCGTGCAGGAAAAACCCAAACCAGGTGGATGTGAGAACCAAGCGAGTTCTGGTGGAGGTGGCCGAGCTGCACCGGAAACACCTGGGCGGCCAGCTCTTGTTCGGCCCCGACGGCCTGCTGTATATCATCTTAGGTGACGGCATGATCACGCTGGATGACATGGAGGAGATGGACGGCCTTAGGTGAGATGGGGGGGGGAGGGGCGGGCATTGTAGGTCACCTCTCGAAAGAAACCTCAGTGGTGGTGTGTGACTCAGTGGGTTGGGACATTGTCTGTGATCAGAGGGTTGCTGGTTCAAATCCCAGTGTTGCCAGAATGATTTTGTTGTCCAGCCTTTGAAAAAGGCCCCCAACCCCCTATTGCTCCAGGGACTGGCTGGCCTGCTTTCTCAATTGCATGTTGCTTTGGATAAAAGCGTCTGCTAAATGTTTAAATGTCCAAAGACCGCCAGCTCAGCTCGTAAGAAGTACTAGAGGTGCCTAAAATATGGATGAGTGTGGCCTCAGTCCTGTGGTCCTCTTTCGTTTTTTCCTAGTGATGTTTTGTGTTTTACATTTTTATAGACGCCATCGGGTAGTTAAATCATGTGCAAATTCCCCGTTACACTCACATCTGTAACCCATCCATCTCCAGTGACTTCACGGGGGCCGTCCTGCGGGTGGATGTGGACACAGACTGCTGTAACACCCCCTACTCCATCCCCAGGAGCAACCCTTACTTCAACAGTACAAACCAGCCCCCGGAAATCTTTGCCCACGGCCTGCATAATCCAGGCAGGTGGGTTGCCGGGCCTCGATCCCATTCCTGAATCGCCGGCTCTTCACACGAGACCTAAGCGTGGCTGAACGCGAGCAGGCTGTGGTACCATCAGCTCTTACGATGCTCCGTTCTGGGCTTCTGCAGATGTGTCGTAGACCATCATCCCATGGACATCAACGGAAGCCTCCGGATCCTGTGCACCGATGCCAGCAGTCGAAACTCAAGCGGCGGGCGAATCCTCGAGGTCCTCAAGGGAAAAGATTACGGTGAGCCTTGGGAGTTTCCGGAAACCCTTTCCAGCTGTTTCTTTGCAACCTTCAGTTCTGGAATCTATTTTTGAAGTGCTTTCATATAATCCCAACGAAGGTGTTCCCAGCCTTGTGCCATGTGCATCATGTGACCGGGTACTAGAAGAGCAGGAATCTCTACAGTGATACCTCAGCCATACTCGGGTATTAGTAGGTTTAAAGAATGGAAAAATATAAGAATATACAAATATCAAGATATTAATGCCATGTGACTTCAGTGCCATGTACTCAGAAGATGTTGATGGGGTTTGGTTTGGGCTGAAAGTGGTATGGTCGTGTTCACTTTGTTTCTTTATAATGCTGACTGAGCTTAATCAGTCCCATACTTTAGGGAGAAATGCTATTTCCTGTGTGGGGGAAAAAAACAATAGTTTGTCGGTTGTCATTCTGGTCGAAATTGCGACACAGCACTGTCTTCACAGAGAAATGCCGTGTCCCCACAGAAAATCCATCCAGTGCCGACTAGCCCAACTCAAGGACACTGCCCTCGTTTATCCCGCCTCATGGGCAGACCGCAGATCGGACTGCAGACCGTTTACACCCATGTGACGCCAAGATGGGTCATTTAAGTCTGTCTATAGAGTCCGGGGGGTTCTTCATAGCTTTGGGATGGTTCTTCACATGGCTAAACAAAACCAGCTGGGCCTACTGTTGAAGGCCTTTCCATCAAAATGCGTGTCGTGGTTTCAGGCCCCTTCCCTGACACGTTGGAAACCAGCATGTCCAACATGCAATTTGAGTCTCATGGAAGTTGCATTGAAAAATGTTGAAAGGATTGAGAAAGATTTCAGCACCAAGTGCTGACACTAATATGTAGTGCTGTTTTTAAATTGCTTGACATTGTTGGTCTCCTAAGGGTGCACCGCAATAATTAAAGAAGTTTCCCACATGCTGATAAAATCGCGAAAAATGACGGAAAACGTCTATTTTTTCCAGGGTCCCGCACAAACAAACAAAATCGATTGGTTGAGCACTCAGCAATCAGGCAGATGCAGCACGGAACACTGCGCCACACTCTAGGGCTAATTTAACATCTCGCGCATCTGCGCACGATGCTTCGATGTGTTTTGGCAATGAAAAGAGCTTTGAAATGTAAGATTTTCCGTTTTACAGGAATCGAAGGCTCCTAAATAGAAGAAAAGTTTGTATTTGAAGGAGGGTTATGAAAACGGTGAAGGTGAAGGACGGCCTTTGCATTCTGACTAGTAAAATACACGTTTGCATTGTCTGGACCTTGAGGACAGATAGAGCTCGAATGGGGAGGGCAAGTGTGTAGCAGGTTGCTTATTTCTTACGTCTGAGATGCCTGTAAATGCAACCCATGTACATTTAGATCAGTTAGGCCAATTTAAACAGTGTCCATCGATAAGGGTGATTGTTCTAATTGTGTTATTGTTAGTTTTTTTGCATTTTCAACATTATGCAGCCATTTTCTAGCATAAAGGCTGTCGCCGTATGGGCCTTAATTTTCTAGGCAGGCCCACGAGTTTGAGAAAATCAGTCTTCTCTCCCTGCGCTGGTCCGGCGTTGCCGTTCGGTCCAGGCTGACTGTCTGCCACTTTCCCGTGTTCCCTTCCAGAGTACGAGCCTCCGATCCTGGACCTGAATTACGGCAGCAGCAGCTCGGCCCCTGTGGGCGGCTTCATCTACCGCGGCTGCCAGTCCAGGAGGCTCTACGGCAGTTACGCTTTCGGGGACCGCAGCGGGTGAGTCGCTCAAAACGCGGGGAATTGTGGGTAATGCGGCGGTTGCCTCACGCTCCCGGGCCGACACTTGTAAGATCAACGTTACCAACAAAGAAAATGCACGTGATTGTAATTATGGTGTGACGTTTTCTGACTAGTGACCTCTGACCCAGTTCTCGCTTCCTATTGGCCGTCTAACCCGCCTAACATTATGTGCCGTGACGCCCCAGGAACCTGCGCATCCTACAGAAGCCGTCAGCGGGCAGACCTTGGCAGGAGAAGCCCCTGTGTGTGGGGAGCAGCGGCACGTGTGGCAGCTCCATCTCTGGACAGATCCTGGGATTTGGGGAGGATGAGTTGGGTTAGTATCTTGCTGAGCCCAAAAACAAGACTACATTTATTGTTCTGTTGGACCAAGGGTTGTGGGGTCTGCTATGGTTCATCCTTAATTTCTCATTTTAAAAAAAGCTAGGAGAATTTTGAAAGCAGCTGATTCTTGTGAGATGGACTTTCTGCAATATTATCATTTGAATGATGTCAACCGCAAATTTTCAACCTGCGTCTGTAGAAGGCCGTCCTGAAGTGATAGAGTAGGAGGACCCTCGTCCCCAACGCCCTCCACGTTTTTTTATAAACTTGCCTGGGCTGGAATAGAAAATAATTTCCATTTTATGGAGTGTCCGCCAAGACATGAGAGGCCAGCCATTTTATGTGAGCGGGTGGGTTTAGGCTCACATGACTTCTGCAGCTGACAGAGAAATAACTCTCAAAAAAGCATAAACCCACCGTGTGGCGCTTGGCGGGGAATCACAGCTGAGCATGCAGCGTCTGAATAGCGAAAGGCAGCTACCAGAAGCTGATATTCACGGCGCATTCCAGTGAGGTCATCTAGTAGCGCGTGATTGGCCCTGACGTCGTTTACAAACAGCCTAAAAAGCAGAGGCCAGGCCAGCCTGTAGGGGGCGCAAGGGAGACGGCATCTCTGCTAGGCTGCGTCTTGCGTATGCGGTAGCAGGAGTTCTCATAAGGCTGCTTGGGTGTTAGCATTAGCGCAGCTGCTAAACCATCACACCCGAGAAGCAGCATCAGGGACTCAGCAGGAGTGAGCAAAGAGCGCTGCCCCCAGTGGCCGGAGGTGAGAAATGCGAGACCCACTCCTGTGTATTTCAACATTATAACGCCGAACGTGTCCAAGGCTTCTCTCAAAGGCTGCACCACCCAGTGTTAACATCCAGAAGTCATTAATCACTGTGTTCTTGTCCTGCAGGTGAGGTGTACATTCTGGTCACCAGCAAGAGCATGGCCCAGTCCAATAATGGCAAGCTATACAAACTGGTGGATCCAAAGAGGTACGGTGTGGCGCCCCCTCTGTCGGCATTCTCACACACGCACACACTGGGCAGAGGATATCCAGCAGCAGTTTCTGTTCAGGAGCACTTTAGGTCTCGCTCACTGTGTCTCTACGCTCGGTCACTCAGGCAGGCTTTATTTATACAGGCAGGCAGACTTTGGTAGATGTCATGTATCTTGCCGCCCAGTAGGGGGCAGCGCACCGAGCCAAACCATCTCAGAATGGGCCTTTGGGCTTTCATCCTGCAACAACTCGCCACACATCTGCCTCCCTGGTGGCCAAGACAAACGGCCGGGTAACCAGAGAGACGGTGTACGGTTTCAAAATGTTAGTGTAGCCCATTTCCAATGGCAACATCGCCGTGGGTCTTCGAGGGAAAATGAGACACCTGTCGATAGCCTGGGGCCGTGTTTTTGTTGGGGGCGGGGGGTGAAGGGTAGTGAAGCAACTGTGAATGTGCTTCACTGTCCCAAAGTTCAGCCCCCACATTCCATAACCCAGTTCCCTCACCCTCCCCAGTCCCCGCCTGGAGGGACTGACACCCAGATACGAACGCGGCGTGTGGTCCGGGGGGGTTAGCGGCGCTTCCACACGTGCGTGTAAGCGTGTCATGTGCACGCGTTGCGTGTGTAATTCCTAACACGTGTTCCGGCCTGCGAAGCACCGTGTCCACACAATAAAGGCTCCTTTTGATTGTGCGCTAGTTTGAATTTGAACACCCTCCAACATATGGCATATACAGCCTTCATACAGAAGATTAATCATAAGAAAAGCATTATTAGGGTTATTATTCTAGTAAGCAGAAACAGCCCCCTTCATCATTCAAACCAGTTGCATGTGTTGTGTTCTGGGTCAATACTATTACAGTTTCCCTCCATTTTAACCTCTTCAGTGGTACTGTGTTTCGAATCGTCCACTGACAGATGTGGAAATTTCAGGTCCGGAAAGTAAAAATCCAGACCAAGATTTCGTTTCAGCCAATCATTCGAGTGGGAAGAGTCCCCGGCTGGTTGGTTGAAGCAAAATTTTGGTCCGGATTTTAATTTTCTGGACCTGGAATGTCCATCTCTGTCCATTAAAATGTCTTTTCATTTTGAACCTGACCAGCTTGTTTCTGTGTTGACGACACATGGCGATTTCTCTGTAATTATTCTTAAATCCTAAAACCTGCCCCCCACAGCAATCCGTATCCTCCTTACCAGTCGCGTTTCTCAGCATTGCCACAGTTAGTCCCCTCCTCCATCTATAGGCATGTTTAGTCTGCTGGTCCTGGGGCATGATGTCGATTCCTCGCGCATCCAGAAGCCCGTCCCGAGGATCTCGTTACCAGGGGGGCGCCGGCGTGACCTTTGCCAGGCTGTCCTGTAGGGTGGTCTGACAGGGATACCCCACGACATACGTGTGTCATGTATAGTCCCAGTGGGGACGCCTGGAAGGTTCTTTGGCCAAGAGCACTTCACGTTAGTCTAACATCAAATGACGAGGGGGGGGGGTTTCTGCTAATGAGTTGAAGAGGCCTGTTTTTGTGTACATGGAGATGCGCAGGGTCTGATTATGAGGCCGGATGCTCGATTGAGGATTTTCTAATCTTGCGGCTCGTTCCCCATGCTGGGCAGAGGCCTTCTGGGAATGTCAGCCATTTGTGGATAGGCGTCACCGGAAGTTAGGATTCGGGAGGAGAAGGAAATGGCCATGGACCGGGGGTGGGGGGGGCAGATGTGGTGCACACCAGCAGCTGTAATACAAACCCTGAGGCAGGATGTCGTTTTCCATTCAGCCTTTTTATTTTTTATTAATTTTTTTTTTTTTTTACACGGCCATTTATTTAGTATGTGAGGATCGGCACGCGTGTGCAGGATACTCACACACACACACATACACACTCACTGTATGTCCAAGCGCTGACCCTAACCTCATGATGTCGTGAGACTTCCTTGAATGTTTGCGTTGTATTCGTTTGTGCCGGTTTTCCTGCCATTCGATGCCAGCCCCCGCCGCCCAAGGAAGACGTCTCGGACTCCTCCTTGTCCTTGTTTTTACAGGCTTTGGAAGCCTTAAGCTACAATCGCCCCGCCATCTTTGGCATGAGCTCAACAGCTGTTTTACTCAATTACCCACCATGCACAGCAGTTGTGCTCAAACAATCCCCAAGAACAGTACGAGGGCAAAATGACCCTTTAAGGACACATCCTTTGTTTTAAAAAATAAAAAAAATAAAAATGCTGATGAGGATTTATGTTCAGCTCAATGCTTGGAAAAAACATCATGGCATGTTTCCTGATTGAAATACGCACAAGCCTGTGGCAGAGAGCTGAACTCCTGACACACAGGGCCGGGCGCGCCGACGGACGAACAAAGGAGCCCGCCGGGCCGGTTCCGCCGGGCCCCATTCATGTCCCGAAGAGGCCGGCGCTGGACGGTCTGAAGCTAATCAGCCTGCCCTCCTCCAATTTATCAGTCTGCGGCTTTGTGCGAGAGGCCCGCCCACGCCTGATGCATTCCCACAGTGCCGCTTGACCCAGCTGCTTTGTTGTGGGTTGGTACGGCAGGTGTTGTGTTCATGACCACCCTGGAAGTAAGACAAACTGTTTGGGGGCAGCGCTGACCCCTGCGCCGCGGACGGCGTTACCGAATCCTCGGGAGCTCCCTCCCTCTCTCTCTCCCTCTCTCTGTTTTCCTTCTCTTTTTTTTTTTTTTTTAAAAAACCAGTGCACAGCCTGTCACAACAAAACTCCATCTCACATAAAGTATGTATAAAGAGCGGCCCAGGAGAGAGGAGGAGAGCATGGGAACAGAAATTCCCAGCCATCCGTCACGGCGCCTGTCAGGGTGATAACCCTCCCCCCCCATCCCCCCCACCCCCTGGCTTGTTTGCAAAAAGACCCACGTCCGGCTTTCCGCCACACAGGCAGGGCACGGGGGGGGCTGGGTGCCGTGTAAAATACCCCAACCACCCCACCCCCCCCAGTGTAGAATTCTGACCCATGTGCAAGCATGCAGTGAGTAGCGGCTCAGATTTACTCGCCCGCTCCTCGTCTTTTTTGCTTACATCAAATCAGCAACACCGCCGGTGTTTGCAAACACGGCGTATAATCCGCACCCCCCCCCCCCTCCCGGCCTCGGTGCTCTGACTGTGGCGACACAGACGGCATACCATTCCCATGCACTCGATGCGGCCGCAGGATGCGCAGGCTAAGAGCACTTCAGCCTGGCCCTACCATAATGCAGCCCCCTCACCGGGCTCCAATTACAGCGTGTGTGTGTGTGTGCGCGCGTGCACGTGGGCGCGTGCGTGTGATCGCACGTTGGACAATCCATCTGCCTCAGGAAATGGTATAAAATCTAGAGTAAAGATACCTCCTGCACTATCATGAACGACCATCACACATGGTCCTCGAATACTATTCTATACATAAAGGGGGCAGCATTAAATCGGAGGCTGAAAGGGCAGTTAGATCACGGTGCAGTCCATCCCAGGCTACTAACTAAAGCCCTTAAATTAACTACATGGATTCAACTTTTCTGGCACTACCTGTTAGAGATACAAGGGGCAACTGTAAATTTTTACGTTTTATTTATTTAGCAGGCAGTTTTTATTGAGAAAGCAGGGCCCTAGAGCATTAAGGATTTAAGTGCCTTGTTCAGGGATCCGACAGTGAAACAACCAACAAACTCTGGGATTTGACCCGACAACCTTGTGGTCACAGACATGACGTCCTAATCTGCTGAGCTACATGCTGGTATAGATTTGGGTGTGCTGTTAGCTGGGGTTGGGTGAAATGCAGCATTATAATGTCGTGCATTTGTGCTGTATATGCATGTGTACATGAGGTCTTATCTGACTGTGCCCCCCTCCAACACCGTGTTGCATTGTAGGCCCCCGCTGCCCAAGGAATGCCAGCGTACGGTGGAGCCCCCAGAGCTGCTGGGGACGGCATGCTCTCGGCAGTGCAAGAACGGGCACTGCACCCCAACCGGAAGGTGCTGCTGTAGCCCCGGCTGGGAGGGGCCCTTCTGCAGAGTGGGTGAGTGCACTGCCCCCCCCCCCCCATACAGGCCTAATACTCGCTCACATAACCGTTCAGCGACAATGACTAAATGTTGTGCCTCTGACATTTTCATTGTGGCATCTGAGAAATAATGTTACACGTGAATATAACATAACGAATTACACAACGAAAAGTTGCCCATTGCTGATCTGCAGGTCAAGGTTTTCAAACAGAAATTTGTTGCCGTGTAAAATACCCCAACCACCCCACCACCCCCCCCCCCCCCAATGTAGAATTCTGACCCATGTGCAAGCATGCAGTGAGTAGCGGCTCAGATTACACAACGAAAAGTTGCCCATTGCTGATCTCCTGGTCAAGGTTTTCAAACAGAAATTTGTTGCCCATTATCATTGAGAAAGTGCCCAAGCAACACTGGTCGGCAACATCGCTGAAAAAGTTGCCCCGTGTATCGTCACCCTTAGAATTTTGAGATTAATCAGTTGCCGTTGGCGATGGCCTAACCCCCATCCCCTCTGCCTTCCTGTCATTTGTAGCCCGGTGCGAGCCCACGTGCCGCAATGGTGGCGTCTGCATGGAGCCCAACGTGTGCCTGTGCAAGAGCGGCTACTCGGGCCTGCAGTGTGAGCGCGGCGAGCGTGGAGAGCCAGTCCCCGAGGCCAAAGACGGCCTGCTGGACCACCTCATCGACGTCACCTCCTACCTGCTGGACCTCACCAGCTACATCGTGTAGGCCGGTGCTGGGGGGGGGGGCTTTGATCGCCGCACGCCACAGATATCACCCCCTGCTCCGCTGATCACGCCTCCAATCCACACGCCCCGTAACGCTACGCGCCGGCGCCCACCGAAAGGACCCCCCCCAAACAGGGCAACAGCCAGAGAAAATGAAAAGGCAAATCCCGCACCCTCCCCCACACCCAACATAAGGACTTGGACACTGGCTGAGTGTCTCTTCTGAGCAACATCTGTCCTGGATTTGTGTCAGTCCCCTGACTGTGACTCCCAGTCACTAAGACTCGCTAGTGACTCTCTGTCACGAGGACCTTCTGTTGTTGGTCTTCCCACCACTCTTGGGACCCCACCGACCCTCCAGGAAAAGAAGCAATTCTTCACTCTCAGACCCTGGGTGCAGCTTGGCAAGGAGGCACACCTTCTGTATGGACAAGATGAAGGAATATCGGGAGTGTTTCGTCTGAAGTCTTACTCTCAGTTTGACATTTGCATGGTGGCCGGGGGGGGTGGGGGGGAGGTGGTGAGGCTCGTGCCTGTGCCTGTATGGAGAGAGGTCCCCCCATCAGAAAAACACACACCCATATCCCAGAGCTTATCAGAGAAGCACATTTTCCGCAGAGATTCGTTTTTTAATTTGTTGTAGGGTAACAGCCTTTTCATCAACATCAGCAGTGTACCATGGACTGGGCTGTGGCGACCAGCAGCGCCTCCTCTGTGCTGATCTGGGGTCAGCCATCTCCGGTAACGCGGACAGAGCTCTTTCCCTGGGGTCCGGACTTTCCGACGGCAAGCGGCGGAACGTCAGCGCCGGGTGACAGCCGTCACTTAAAAAGAAACAAACAAACAACGTCTTGGGCACTTGTGTTTCCCGCAGATTGGCACCCGAGGGCCCGTCCCCCAAAATTAGCGCCCGTCGCCCGCAAAGCTATAGAATTATGCATTTAAAATTTTCAAATGAAGATATAATTCAATAGTGTAGTGATGTAATTATAATCTACAGCCAATAGCCTTTTACTAGTAAAAGAACATCATGGTGAATAAACACAAAGCTTAAAACTCTACTAATTTTTATGGCTATTGATAGTGGTGAAGTTTGGATAAAACAAATAAATGAACAGAGAAAATATTCTATATAAAGTGCCACTGAATTTACATGTTTTACTTTTCTTTCATTCGATGAGGATCGTCCAGGCTGCTTCATGATATGTTCATGTCATGTTCTCTTCTTCTGAGACCGTTCCTCTAGTTCGCTTGGTGTAGAATGAAGGTCATCACTGGCATCAGGGTCCAGTGTCCACATACTCATGACCCCGCTGGATACTGAAATCCACCAGCACTGGTTTCAGGCACGTTTCAATGGTGTACAGTTTAGATGTTCAACGCTGAGGTCTTCTGGACCCAAGGTGTCGGTTGATCAAGCTGTCTCGATCTACACCCCAGCTACGCGGCTCACGTGCCGTACGTACTGGTCAAATTCACCCTAGTCTCTAACACTGTTCAAAAGAGAAAACACGTCATGGGTTATGTTCTGTGATGGACAAGATGGATGATTCCTTAACCTGAGAAATAGCAGCCATTTTTGCTGATTGTAAGACATTTTCTTGTTCGAAATAGCCTAGCGTCAACGCCTAGCAATCCCACTTTTCGTCAAAAGTTCCTAGTCATCTCTGTTACTCTCACCCATGTGCCTGGGTTTCGGTGTTGATTGGATACCAGAAAGGCCCATTTTAACCGTTTGTCCAGAACTCAACCTGGTGTGAACCAGACATACTCCCTGTCTTTCTGTCATTTTGAAATGCAAGCCATATCGTGGTGTTCAATCTCGTAATTCTCCTATAATGCATCTGTCTGCTCAGCTGTTTGGAGACAAGCCAAATTATGGACATGTTTGCCATGCTATTTTACAAAAACGATTAAATTGGACATAATGAAAGTGACAGAGAGCATACAGATATTTTATTCTCATGTTCAGTAAGGCCGAGTGTGTCTGAGGAGCCCATATGACACATGCAAAACACTTAAGCGATATTTTTAGTAAATAAGAGGTGATTCATAACCATGTGTGCTGTAGGCCGTGAATTTTGATATATAAAGACTTCAGAAGACTCCAGTGGTGACGACATAAATTAGCCATACTGCAGATGTCGTAAAAAGTGGCCATTGTTAAAATATATAATATGAATGTTTAAGAAGCTGAAACTTTCCACATCCACTACCAAGGGATATCCGATCGATATCATACTCCACGTCACTCCAGACGTCCCACGTCTCCCACCCCAACTGGCCCTCCGCTTTAGCGCGGCGTGTGAGTATAAGTGCTAATCAGAATTCACATCCAAAGTGTGCTTAAAATCATCAGGGTTTGTAACATTACGAGATAATTGTACCATAGCACTGTTTGTAGATTTCTATATAGGGATTCTGATTGCAACAAAACCATGTTTATTTTTCTTTATTATTAATATGATGATGATTATTATTATTATTATTGTCCTAAATGTGTGTGCTATTGATTATTATATGGAATAGTAAATTCTACAAAATCCATGCTGTAAGTTTAAAATCCATAATTTTAGCACTTAATGTGAATCTTGCATCAGAGCTGCTGAGATGGCCCGTGTGAATAGAGTAATCGTTTTCATTATTTAAGTAGTTATGCAAAGGTTATTTAAATCCTCTACATTGTTTGTACCTTGTGAAGATATGGATTTTCATTTTTTTTTGTAAATATAACTGGGATTCTCTTCGGTCTCTTTTCTGAAATAGCTGTCTATTAAAGTTTATAGCATGTCCGATCAGCCCCGTGTTAGGTTCTTATTTCAGCGTCTGTCGGCCAGACAGAAGGTGACATACTGCTCAGTGTGTTGAACTCATCATATGACATTACCTACATTTTATCCAAAGCGATGTACTTTGTTTCAATAAAGCAGGGTCAGACAGTTCCTGGAGCAATTGGAGGTTAAGGACTTTGTTTGAGGGCCCAATGGTGAAATCCCTGGGATTTGATCCAGCAACCTTCCGAGGGACACAGTTGGTCTACACTTTTCAAGTACGGATGGCGAAACGGCTGATGAAACACAGTTGTTCTTCGCTTTAAAATTTTATCCTAATGTGGTAACATAGTTCCTCAGTGTCCCACAAGTTTAAATATTGGATGGGAGGTGAGTTTTTTTTCTTCGGTACAAGCCGCCTCTGCGAAACGTCCTAATTTGTCAGCCGTCGCCATTCCGGCTCTTCTGGCAGGTCTTTGCGCAGGTAACACGTAGGTGAGGCGCGGAGGAGCAGCAGGAGATGGGCCGGCAGGAAAGACGGGTCTTGCCAGTGGTGCTTTTAGCTCATGATTCCGGGAATGTTTAGACGAGTATGAAATCCTGGACGTCTCGGAAAGCTGAGTGTTGACAGGCCGATAAGCATCTCCCTTAGAAGAAAACGGCACAAGGGAAACATTTATTTGACGGCTCTGACGCTGAAACTACACATAACACGTCCAGAAGGATGAGCCCCACGTAGATAAACGCTGGCCGTTCTTTCTTTAAACCTTGCAGGCCGGCAAATGGTCTCGGTTTGCGCGCTAGCCGTACAGCAGGTATCACTTTTATCTGTACGATGTGTGTTATACAGCCACTAGCTATTCTCTGAAGCCCATCTAGGCAGCTTGGCCGTTTGTCATGGTTGTGGAATCTTAGAACGATAACACAGTCTTCCACACATCAAGCAACAGCCCCAGCTGATGGAATAATTAAAATATCCTCCCAAATATTGATCTCATTTACTATTTCCACCAGTAAAGAAGACCACCCACCCACTACAGACCCCCAGACTTATTTATAGTAATGCAATACTAACTTATCTGTGCTCAGAGCCCGTCATAATTGCGTAAAGTGGAACTAAGCAATTGTGCTTTAAAGTCTGGGGTATATTTTCCTTTATACTCTATCTGTACCATGAAGCGTTGCTTTTCATTTGGAATTGTTCTTCTTTTCCACAAAGAGCCCTCGTTTGGCTATCTGCGATAAACACCATAACCCTGCGTTCGGATAAACATGCGCCCTCGGTACGCTAAATATTTGCAACACTGCTTCGGTGGGCAGTGTGGTGACACTGGGTGCGAGAACAGATGACCGACGCGCGACAGACACCCCCGGCAGATAAAGGCAGAGGAAAAGGTCAATTATACAAATTCTACAATAGCGATATTTGCAATGCATTGCTTATACGCAGCGATTTGCCCTTCCTCGCTGGCTTTGCAGACGTCATTGGCTAATGGAGAACTTGCACAAGAGCATCCCGTTTCCTACATTGCTATACATAGTTATGGAAACTGTAGGGCCGCATTTTTTATTGCTGAGTTTATAAGGCGGGAAATGTCACAACTATTATTTAGAACCATATGTTCTGACCACGTTGGATTGGAAAGCAAATAAAATGACTAACAGAGGTTTCCAGGGTACAATGATGTATGAGTTAGGACTATTTACAATTAGCTGTAATGGGGCAGAATTGATCCCAACTGACCCAACTGTGTGTCCATCCAACAAGCACAGCATTCGTCCCATAACTGGATCCATAGCATTAGACAAAACCCAACCGCTACCTGACGAGTAACTCAACCTGTTTATATTGGTCTATGACAGCCTTGTACCCGTTGTGGGAGTTTCTGTTTTTTTCCTAATATTCCTTCCTTCATTAGTATTCTAACACTACGTTTTAGTCATAGTTGGCCAACCGTGACCACAGGAATGTGACCGCTGCTGTAGCGCTCGGCCCTCAGGTTCGGAACCGGCAGCCCCGCGCGGCCGTCCATTTCCTGCCACCCTCGTACGCTACTTGGCAGGTCCTCCGCTTTCCTGTTTCGCGTTCCCCCTTTTTCCGAAGGACCGGGCGGCTCAGCGGGAGCAAGAAAGGTGCTGGCAACAGAAGCCGGGCAACGATTCCGGAAGACAAACACAAAAACTGAGAGAGCGGCGGTAAACGCCAGGGAAACAGGTGCCCGGGAAGCTGTGAGGACACGAACTGTTGACATTTAAATCATACTGGTTCCTTGTTATAATTTTGTTAGCTGATATAACAAAATATGGATAGATGTGTGAATGAAGGAGAACAACATTACAAAAATGCTCTAACAAACGTTTTGGGGGATTTTCCCACGAATTATTCCTCCTTTTCTCATTCTATCCGTCGGCCTAATTAGAAACCAGTTCAATGTCTGCTCAGCTCAAAATTCAGCCCGAAAGCTCCTGTGACTTTGTTGATACTGTTACGTAAAATATAGCCCGTGTTACTCAATCCCGGCGATTTATTTTGTAGGTGCTGGATGCCGTTGGTGTAAATATTTACAGTGGTTTCCAGTCATGTCATTCTCCTCATTGTCCCTCCTGCTCTGTCACTGGCTAGAATGTATATTCCATTCTATTACTTCATGTGTTTATGCGTGCTGTCCAAGATTACCACTTCTGTAATCCCTCAACATGGCTGGTCTACTTTAATATTCTGTCAACACCATTTCCACGGCAACCTGGGCCTCCTAAAGGGGGGGCACTCGGGCTCTGGTTAGCCACCTCCCAGCCGCCACACTGACTTGCATCCATAAAATGATGCCATTATAGCCCCCACCGAGTCCCAATCTGTCATGTAAACACATGCAATGTGCTGAGAAAGAGTGATGGCAGGGGGGTGGGGGGGTGAGAAAAATAGGTGACCGTTAGGGTTATTTATGAAGGATCCTTATTGTCGCACCTGGTAAATTATAACTGAACAAACACTTGAGGGCCCAGAAGGTCAGAAGGTATGAGGAGGAGGCCATGAGGTCATCCCCGGGCTTGAGAGTGTGATGCAGAAGATGTCTTGTTTCATGTTTTTTTTTCCCCCTGCCAGTGACATTGCACAGAGCTTAGTAAACAACTGATGCTGGAATGTACCACCTGAATTCAGTTTCCATGTTGAGGTCACTCGCTTAGAATGTTCCCAAACACACTGAAAGGGCTGCACATATAGTTAACGGTCGCAGTTTTATAACACGTCGATGTTTTATTTGTGTGCGTGACGCGACTTTTTTCATCGGTCCTTCTGCATCTGTTTT